TTTAAAAAAAAAAAACACATGGATGTGAATACATTGTGGCCAAATTCTGTTGCCTGAGAAAGGCCCTGAGTTTGAGAGAGATGCTGGGATACCAACACCACACTGAGACCTTCTCCTTGAGGGACACAGGGCAGAGAGGGAATTGAAGGGCCACCTCTCCCCATGTGATTTCAGGGTGTTCCATGCCATGGTTGTGAGTCCTCTGAGGTCATATCATCCCTCAGATCACCTAAGTCCTGTCTGTGGTTCCCCTTTGGGGAGCGCTTGGTGGAGATGCAAGGGGAAGGCCAGGTATCTGGAGCCAGGCCCCTTGTCACCCCCCACTGCACCCCTCCCCCTGCCCACAGGAGAAACAAAGTCCTGAACCACTTCAGCATCATGCAGCAGCGGCGGCTCAAGGATCAGGACCAGGATGAGGAAGATGAGGAGAAGGAGAAGCGTAGCCGCAAGAAGGCCAGTGAGCTGCGCATCCACGACCTGGAGGATGACCTGGAGATGTCATCTGACGACAGCGAGGCCAGTGGTGAGGAAGGTGAGGCCGGTGGAGCCCCCTGGGTGGCTGGGTCGTACTTTGTCAAGGTGTCTTGAGTGATGACTCAGGGAGGTTAATGCCACTGAAGGAAAGTTTACTCACTCACAGCCCGCTGGGAATGAGAGCATGACACGGCAGGCTCCATGGGTCCCTGGGGAAGCACCAGAGTTGGTAGGAGGCAGAAAGGAGTGACAGGAAGGTCTCAGCGGTGGCCTTTATCGGGATTTCCACGGGATGGGCAATGCAGGGGGTGGGGGCGAACAACTTCCAGATCGGCCAGTTCAAATAATCATGGCAGGCCCTGGGCTACAGGGGTGGTTTCTGGTTTCTGGCACCCGGTACCTGGTCCTGGGGGCTGTAGGGAAGAAGATGATGGCGCTGAGTATGAGAGTGAGAGGGAGGGAGTTGGGGGTGGAGACTTGGACTGGTCGGGTTTGTGCGTGAGAGGCGAGTGCTTGGGGGAGTCTCTCCCTGGTTAGTGCGGGGCCCCAAGATGTCCAGACATCCTCGGATATGCCAAACAGGATGAGTACCAGCCTGAGCCCCGCTCTACTTCCCCAGGTGGTAGAGCCCCCAAGGCCAAGAAGAAGGCACCACCCACCAAGGGGGGCAAGAAGAAGAAGAAGAAGAAGGGGTCCGATGATGAGGCGTTCGAAGACAGCGACGACGGGGATTTCGAGGGCCAGGAGGTGGACTACATGTCCGACGGCTCGAGGTGAGGCGGGCAGCGGGCAGGAGGCGGCTGGGAGGCCTGGGCCGGCCTGGCCATGCGTTCCCTCACCCTCTGCCCGCCCTCTGTCTTCCAGCAGCTCCCAGGATGAGCTGGAGGGCAAGCCCAAGGTCACCCAGCAGGAGGAGGGCCCCAAGGGCGTAGACGAGCAGAGCGAAAGCAGCGAGGAGAGTGAGGAGGAGAAGCCGCCCGAGGAGGACAAGGAGGAGGAGGAGGAGAAGAAGGTGCCCACACCTCAGGAGAAGAAGCGCAGGAAAGGTAGGTCCCCTCCCCGCTTCCCGGGTCCTCCCCCCCTCACTCCCAGAGCCCCTTATCTGAGGTCGAGCTGGGGTGGGCAGGCACCGTGGCACTGACGTCCCTCCTCCGGCCCGAACAGACAGCAGCGACGAGTCGGACAGCTCGGAGGAGAGCGACATCGACAGCGAGGCGTCCTCGGCCCTCTTCATGGCGGTAAGGCCCAGCCCCGGGGCGGGAGCCGGCGGGCGGCTGTCCTGTCTCTAGACTCGCATCCCCGACCCGATCTCCGCAGAAGAAGAAGACGCCCCCCAAGAGGGAGCGGAGGCCGTCGGGAGGCAGCTCGCGGGGCAACAGCCGGCCGGGCACACCCAGCGCGGAGAGTGGCAGCACGTCGTCCACCCTGCGGGCGGCCGCCAACAAGCTGGAGCAGGGTGAGCAGCCCCGTCCCTGTCTGCCTCCACTTGCTGTCCACCCGCGGTCCCTCGTCCTGCCTCGGGACCGGAAGCCTGGCCACCCCGAGCCCCCTGCACAGGGGCCCTGGTACCCCTCCGCCTGGGCGCGCAGGGGTGCAGCTGCCGGGCACGGGACTCAGCCCCGCCCCTGCTCCCCCAGGCAAGCGGACGAACGAGACGCCAGTGGCCAAGCGCTTGCGGCTGGACCCCGGGCCCCAGAGCCTGTCGGGGAAGTCGACCCCTCAGCCCCAGTCCGGGAAGTCGACCCCCAGCAGCGGGTAAGTTGGCGAGGGCGGCAGGGCCAGGGCAGGGGCGTGTGGGAGCCTCCTGCTGACGCCCGCCCTGCCCTCGGCTCCTCAGTGACGTGCAGGTGACCGAGGACGCCGTGCGCCGCTATCTGACACGGAAGCCCATGACCACCAAGGACCTGCTGAAGAAGTTCCAGACGAAGAAGACAGGGCTGAGCAGTGAGCAGACGGTGAACGTGCTCGCCCAGATCCTCAAGCGGCTCAACCCCGAGCGCAAGATGATCAGCGACAAGATGCACTTCTCCCTCAAGGAGTGATGGGCTCTGGCGCCCACCCACCTGCCCAATAAACAAGCTCCGTCTCTAGAACTTCCTGGGTGCTTGCATTGTCTGGCCCCTGCTCCCCAAATCCCAGAGCCCCGCCTTGTCAATTCCAAATCACCCCGGGCAGTTTTCTCAGCGGAGGTCTCTTCCTCTCATGGGCCCCTCCCTCTGGAACTTTCCGCTGCCCCTTAGAGCCTGTTCCTCTTGGTCCTCAGCCTGTCGCACTCACTGAGCATCCACCCCACATGGGCACGTGGGCTGTCTCTCCAGCTCTGGCTTCTGGTTCTGTGTTTAGTTGTAGCTGGTCCCCCTTAGCCCATGAAGTGCTTCGCTTCCATGACTGTTCTCCAGTCCTTGAATCATCTTTGCTTCCTTTTCAGATCAGCCGGTCTGTTTTGCGTGCCTTGCCCCTAATGCTTTTGATCCCTTCTTTCACATTTTTGTTTTAAGCATCTGTCTTCTTATGGTCTCTGCCAGACACCTGGTTCCTGAAACTCGCGGGCATCCTGTGTTACCTTGTGATTCCTCTTCACGATCGATTGTTGTGTTTTATAACTTTGAATGGGGACCTGAGGCCGGCTCAGGGGTTCTGTGGGGGCCTCCTGGGCAGTCGGCTTTGCAGGCCAATCCTGCAGGTGCTTTTTGCCTTTGCTCCCTCCCACCCAGGTGGCCCAGGAGCCCTGGGCTGAGCCCGGGTTAGGTGGTTCTCAGCTGGTGGGCTCTGGCCCAACGTGGCCATGACATCCCAAACCCTTTTGTTGCTGATGTTGGCACCTAGGCCCTGTTTTTCAGCTTTCCAGCGATGTTTCTCGGGCTCCCCTTATTTCTAACAACTTAGTTATGCATTTATTTTATCTTGTGTTGCCGGCGTTCTGCCTTGGGAAGGCTTTTTGAGTTCGTGGACAGTTTCATTGAGGGAAATGGAATTTGGCCGTGGTGCCACTTTTGAACCCCTGTTCTGTGTGATCGGCTGGAGGGAGGGGGGCAGGATGTGGGGCTTCCGCCTTGCCCGAGGCTGGATACTGGGTGGAAAACTTCTCCACCCAGTTCCACAGGCCCTTGGCCGCCGAGCAGAGATGCCAGAGATGACAGGCTAATTCCTAGGAATGTCCCAGGTCCATCCAGCCTCCCTCCCCATCCTTCCGCCAGGCTTTTTGGGGGCAGCAGGAAAGCAGTGTTGCCCCTGACCCGGCGATTTTACCCCTGGCCTCCCAGCCACGGGCCTGAGGTCTGAGGCCTCCCCAACCGGGCCAGCCCATGTGCCCCAGTGGGTAGGTGCAAGGGCCTGTGTTCAGCAGCATCTGGCTTAAAATCCTGCCAGTGTTTAATTCTGGGCCACTTTGGCCAAGTGACAGTTTTTGTCTGAAGGTGGTCCCAACAAGCACCACTGTAACCACACCAGCAGGACGCAGAGTTTGGGTTACTCCCAGTCTTACTAACCTGGAAAGCGGCTCCTGAGCCTGTCTGTGCTCACCTGTGTAGGGCGAGTTCCCGAGCCCGTGTTTTCCTGGGGGAGGAGGGAGGTGACTGGCAGTTTCCAGAGCAAAGGCTCAGCTGCTGCGGGTTTGCACCCCTCCCCACAGCCCGGGGTGTACCTGCGTCGCACACATACCCCCAGGCGTGGGGAGGCATGTGCTGGTTTTTGCCCCCTGGCTGCAGGCTCCTACCTGAGTTTTGGCCTGGTCTGACCTACGTGGGATCGAGCACCTCTTAAAGCGCGAGCCCAAGCTCTTCGTGCTTCCTTTGCCTCAAAGGGAGGCTTGCTCTCGCAAGCCCCTCACTCGGGCAGCATGTTCAACACTAAACGTGCCGTCTGTCTGTCCTCAGAACCTCTGATTAGCCCCCTTTCACAGTGAGGGTGGGCCTCGTTTCCCTGAGGTCACAGGGGCTGGGCATGGAAGTCACTGGAAATTGTTGCTGCCTCTCAGACCCTGCGGGTTTACCCTCCCCTCCAGCCCTCATGCCGGGATGGGGCTGAGGTCCCAGGGGCCTCAGGTGGGCCTTCCAGAGACAGGAGTCCCTGCAGGGTGAGCTTCCTAGCCTCGTGTCCCAGTTCTTGGCTGTCCCCGGGCCTCTCCCTTTTCCTGTTTCGATGCTGGCTCAGCCAGGCCCGGAGACAGGGGCATGATGTCTTAATCCTCCAGGTGGCAGCCATGATGGAGGATCCCCGTCAGCCTGGCCACCTGCTGACCTGTCTCTCCCCACTATCCCCCTCTACCTGGTGCACGGTGTGGGGACCCCAGAGCCCTGACACCCTAAGTGGGGAGAGGGTCCCACTGGTGGGTCCTCAGTGCCCCCCCCACCTCTTTCCAGAAAGCAGGTGGGGTGGGGGACCCCGCGGCCCGCCCTGGCTTCAGCTCTGGCTGCCGCAGCCCTCGTAAATCAGGGGTGAAGGGGGTGTCTGAAATGGGTCTGCGGAATGTCTGGATGGGGCCGGGAGGGGGTGAGCACTTAACTCTTAAGAGGCACAGGGGGTGGGGCAGAGGAACTGGCCTGAGGATGCGGGGTCGTCCTGCCACTACGCAGCAGCAATGAAGAGGTTATTTCCCCCGCCCCGGCAGGGGGATAAATTGAGGGTGCGAGGCGTCCCCACCGCCACGACCCGCCCGCCACGATGGCCATGGGACGAGTCCTACTCTGCTCTCTGCTGCTCCTGTCGCTGCAGCCGGGCCTCAGCAGGGGCCCCGGGGCTCGGGGTGCTCTGGTGGCGGAGGAAGAGCTCCGAGGGACCCAGAGGCCGCAGTTGGGTAAGGACTCCCGGACCCCGCGTGGCTCCCCAACTCCTTCCTGCCCAGACGCCGCTTGCTGTCAGCTGCCCCTTGCCCCCCGCAGGTGCCCGCCTGCGCCGAGCCCTGGCCAGCCCGTGCCAGCTGTGGAGCCTGCCCCTACCTGTGGCTGAGCTGGGTCTGGGCTACGCTTCGGAGGAGACGGTCATCTTCCGCTACTGTGCGGGCAGCTGCCCCCGCGGCGCGCGCACCCAGCACGGCCTGACGCTGGCCCGGCTGCGGGGCCAGGGCCGAGCCCACGGCGGGCCCTGCTGCCGGCCCACCCGCTACGCCGACGTGGCCTTTCTCGACGACCGCCACCGCTGGCAGCGGCTGCCCCAGCTCTCGGCGGCTGCCTGCAGCTGCGGCGCCTAAGGACGCCTGGCCTGGGGCCCCGCGGCTCCGCGAGGAGCTCTGCGGACTTATTTATTGGAGACCGGAGGGGAGGTGGGCTGCGGGCCGGCCACGAGGAGCATAATAAAGGAGCTGCGGCCGCAGGACTGTGTTCAGCCAGAGTGTGCCTTGACCCCACCATCTCAGCTCCCGGTGCGGGGAGGCGGGGGGGCCGGGGGGGGGGGTCCTGGGCCGCCCCTGCTCCGCTCGGCCCCTGCGAACAGCCAGTGAGCTTGTCCACTCTCCAACTTTATTCACAAACACGGTGTCTCCGAGAAGCTGGGGGAAGGGCCTGGGGTTCAGCAGGCTGGGGGCGGCTGCCCCGGCTCCCCTGGTCCCATCCCCTCAGGGAGGGAGCGGCAGATCACAGAGATGCGTCGGCCCCGGGGAACCCGACGCTCCCCAAAAAAGGACTCCTCATCCCGAAGAATCTCATGGGAGAAGTCATAACGGGCTGAGCCCCTGCAAGAGAAAACAGGCTGTGGCAGCGTGGGGTGAGGGCAGCCCCTGTGCCAGGCAGACTGCCTGCCATGGGGGAATGATCGAGTCCGCTGGGAGGGCTGAAAAAGAGAAGGTGCTGGACATGCTAGGTGGGCATCTGATGAGTTACTGGGGCGGGGGGCTCCCTGGCTGGGCAGTACCTAAGGATGTAGAGGGAGCCTGGCTCCAGCAAGAGTTCCAGCCACTCCCCTGGCTCCTGGGTGTGCACCAGCCGCATGACGCTGGGAGAGAGTAGGGACAGACCAGCGATGGTGGCTCCACAGAACTGGAAGAGGGGACATGGTGGCCAGTCAGCTCTGGCCTGGCCGGCCCAGCCCCAGCTGGGAGCTCCAAGGCTCCGGCCTCTGCCCACCTTGATGCTGTCCACGTGCGGCTTGATGTAGCCCCGAGGTTCCAGGTCCAGCACATGCACCGGGGACAGCAGGGTCTGGCCAGGGCTAAAGGCAGCTGCTTGCACGCGCTGCAGGATGGCCCGGCTTGCCTCTGACCAGCGTGACTTTTCCGTCTCTCGGAAACCGTGGATGGCCTACACAGGGAGCTTCGGTCAAGTCAGGAAGCTCCCAGAGGGAACAGGAAAACTGAGGCACGGGGGGGGGGGATGGAGAGGGTGGTGGGCAGAGTGCAAAGGACTGGTTTTCCCAGCATGACCTTTGACACCACCCTCAACTTACCACCTTGGTCCTATCTACCCTAAGATCCTGGGTCTCAAAGCCCAACCCCTGTCCTACTAGGCCTGGCCTTACTCCTTTGCACCCGCCTTCAGGTTCCAATTCAGTCCCAGAGCTTGTCCCCAATGCTGGCCCACCGCAATATTCAATAACGTCTGTCTCGGCCCGCTCAAGTCTTCTGTCTCCGCCCCCAACTGGTGACCCTCCCTCATCTCGCTCCACACCTGTTTCGGCCCCAACCTTGCTGCTGTCCCCTAAACACCTTACAGTTCCAGGTCCGGCCTCCAGCTATGGCCAAGCCCTCATCTCCGAAGTGCTTTCCCTGCCCGCAAAGCCCCCGGGCATCAAGACCCCGCCCCCAACTACAGCCCCCTTACAACCCAGTGCCCCACCTCTGCGCCCACCTTTAACGCCACAGGCCCCGCCTCCGCCGTGGCCCCGCCTCCGCCGTAGCCCCGCCCAGAGCGTCATTCCAGGCCCCGCCCGCCCGCGGCCCCGCCCCCAGCGCCGCCGGCCTCACCGCGTCCCAGTGATCGTATTCGTAGCGATGGCGGCGCAGCTCGGGCTCTAGCTCGCGGCTCAGCGTCTCCTCCTCGGCCGCGCTTAGGAAACCTGGCCGCACCACAGCCGCGTCCCGAAGGCGGCTCAGTACAGCCGGGCCCGAGCCCCGCACCCAGCCGGGCACCGGTAGCGTCCCCAGCGCCAGCCGACCACTCCCGGCCATAACCCCGGAGCCGGGTCGTGGAAGCGGTCGGAGTCGGGGCTACGCCCCCGCCCCGAGCCATTGGCTGTGGCCGCACCGAGCCGCTTCAGTGATTGGCCTTTCCCAGAGTCCCGCCTCCCGGCCAAGGCTACTGGTTGCTGCTCGGCTCGCCCTCTCAAGCTATTGGCTTCCCGTAGAACCCACCTCTTCCCCCGCTGTGGGGCGCCGAAGATGGAGGCCGGGGGGCGGGGCTCGACGGCGGGATTCCGCCTGGGGTTCTGGGCCAGGGGCTATTGGAGGCTTTGGGCCAAGGCCCGGGTTGTGGAGTCGGCCGGGACTTGAGATTAAGGGAAAAGTCCGCTCAGGCTGAGAGGAAGGGGTCAAGGGCACGGGGTTCAGGGTAGTGACATCAAGGCCATGATCATGGGGTGGGGCCAAGTTAGAGGTTGGGGTCAAAGGTTGAAGCCAAGCATCACCCATGCCCCCTCTCAACTGGGTCATTCCCACCCGTGTACAAACAGGCTGGCTCCCACCTTATAAGTAAAAAAAAAACCCTCCTCTTCCTTTAAGCGTAGAATTGACAGAGCACCACTTTGCTGCCCTAGTGGATCTAGACACGGATTGTTATCTGCCCCTAACATCACAAAATGAGGGACCACGAGACTTTGGGCGCCTCCTGATGGACGTGCGCACCTCCACCTAAGAGGTCACTTGCCAAAAATGGAACCTGAATCTGATCAGACTTATCTAGGTTTATACCTCAAGTCACAGGAAATATCAAGGACAGAGGTCACAGCCCATCCTGATCCAATCATCAAAATTCAGATGGAAAGTCCCCGAGAAAAGAGAGTGAATTTCAAGGAAAGAGAAGAAAAAGAGGGAGAGATTGAGAGAGAGATTAAGGGGAAAACCCACAGTTAAAAGAGACTTTGGGATATACCTACCAGTTGCAAGGTGCACCTTATTTCGATGCTGATTCGAACAAACTAAAAACATAGAGGTAACCAGGGAGATTTGGACACTGGTTGAATATGTGACGATAGTTAAGTATTGTTTTTTTTAGGTTTGCAAATGGTATTCTGGTGGTCTTTTTAAGGATTTATCTTTTTAGAAATACATGTTGGAATATTGACCCCACGACCCCTCCAGGGACAGCCACAGGTTCTCTGCTCTCCTTATACAATGAAATTCCTTGAAAAATGTGTCCAGCTCCCATGTCTTCCCGCCCCTTCCCTCTGGGTGCACTCCAGGCTGGCTTTTGGCCCCCACAGCACTGAAAGTGCCCCTCCAGATCCAGCAGCCGGTTCTCAGCCTGACTGCTAATTTATCGACATCCCAATGATGTCTTTTCCATTTTCATTCCCAACCCTCACCCCAGATTTATCCATCCCCTGGGATGTCTGAGGCACGTCAAACACCAGAAGTAAAGTGTCCAGACTCGACTCCTGATCCCCTGCCCCCGCACCTGCGCCTCCCTGCAGCCATTCCACCTGTCAGCTCTGCCTTAAAACCTGGCTAGAATCTGACCTCTCCTGGCCACCCAGCTGGGGCCGCCAGCCTTCATCTGATTATTCCAAGTCTCTGAACTGGTCTCCGGTTTCCACGCTGGCTGCAGTCCTCCCAGTACTCCATGGAAGCCACAGTCTTCCTGTCATTCTTCTTAGAACCCTCCATGGCTCATCTCCCTCCTTGCTCAGATCTACCAGGCCTTTTAAGGTCTGTCCTCCTTCCTTTCTGTTCTCATCTCTCCACTGTCCCCCTGCCATTCCACTTCAGCCACGAGTGTCCTCAGGGGCCCCTCCCACATGGCAGCCAGTCCTGCCACAGGGCCTTTGCACTTGCTATGCCCACTGCCTGGACTGCTCTCTCTCTCACCTTAAACCTTGTTCAAGCATCACCTTCCCAGCAAGGCCTTCACTGGCCACCCCATCGAAAGCTGTAACTCTCTCTCTCTCACACACACTGTATAACTATTTCCCTGCTTTTTCAAAAACTGTCTACCTCCTCAAGAAGAAGTTCTTTGAAGACAGGGATTTTTGTTTTCTTCACGATATGTCGTGACCTCTAGAACAGTGCCTGAAATGTCCTATTTGTTCAGGAGAGTTGGCTGCAGTTAGGGCTTGGAAGGTCAGAGCCTCAGGGTCACGGTGAAAGCAGAAGAGGCCTTGTGCAGGGCACACGTGTGCATGCCACGGTGGAGCAGGCAGGGAAGGTGACACAGGTGGGGATCAAAGACTACAAAGATTTAATTGAAAATCATAGTGTCTCATTCCAGATACCTGCCCGGAGGGGCAGCCCCAAACCCAGAGTTCCTCACGGGGCCCTTCCAGGCTCAGCAGCGAGGGGTGGGCAGGGCTGGGGCTCCAGCGTCTGACTGGCTGGCTGGCTGGCTCCCCCGACTTTCCTCTGGAGGGTGAGGTCCAGCTCTCAGATGCTTGCTGGGGTGGGCTCTGCGGCCGCCACCACCGCCGCGGGCTCCTTCTGCACCAGCTCCGGCTCGTCCTCACCGTCCTGGGGAGGGTGGACCAGAACCTTGTCCAAGATGCCAAACTCCTGGGCCTCCATGGGGCTCATGTAGCGGTCCCTCTCCATGGCCGACTCTGCCAGGGGAAGCAAGGATGTGTGGGGTTAAGGACGGATACCTGGAGCCAGGCTGGGGTCTCCGTTCTGCCACTTCTTCGCTGGATGACCCTGGCCTTCCCCTCTTGGTGCCTCAGTTTCCCCATCAGTAAAATACCCATTTCCATTTTTCTTTTTTTACTGGTTATTGATGTCTAATATACACCCAGATGGCAAGCAGACAGTGTGAATTTCAGACGGAGCATAACCCACATGGCCAGCACCCGGGCCCCCGACCGCCCCCTGCTTGAGCCTGCTTCCAGTCACTGACTCCTCCGGCCCAACAGTAACCGCTAGCCTAACGGTGGCCTGACAGCATAAATAAGCCTGCTTCTTTTTGTTTTTAAATATGTGGAATCAGGGCGCCTGGGTGGCTCAGTTGGTTAAGCGACTGCCTTCGGCTCAGGTCATGATCCCAGGGTCCTGGGATCGAGTCCCGCATCGGGCTCCCCCTGCTCTGCGGGGAGCCTGCTTCTCCCTCTGCCTCTGCCTGCCACTCACCCTGCTTGTGCTCTCTCTCTGTCAAATAAATAAATAAAATCTTTAAAAAAAAAAAAATATGTGGAATCACAGAGTATTTACTCCTTTTTCCCACTCGGCAATATGTTTCCGAGATTCAGCCCGGCTGCTGTGGGTCGCCGTGGACGGGTCTCTGTCGTTGCCGTGTGGGATTCCACGGCGTAAATAACGCACCGAGGCGCCCGTCCCGCTGCTGTTGGGCATGGGGGTGTCTCCCAGCGTGGGGCTCCTACACACAGGGCGGCCGTCCGCGTTCCTGTCCGCAGCGTTGGTGGACACGAGCACTCCCTTCTCTTGGTTACATGCGGAGCGGGGGAACCGTGGCATTTTGGGGCATTCCGAGCCTGAGCTGGGAGCGTCAGACGGCCTTCCAGAACGGTGCTGCCATCCTCAGTCCCGCCTGCCGAGGGTGAGCATTCCAGCTGCTCCACATTCTCACTGGCACTGGGTGTTGGGTTTTAGATTTTAGCTGTTCTAATGGATTGAAATGGCATCTCACTGCGGCCTTAACAGGTCTTTCTCTAAAGACTAATGATGTTATTTAAAAAAAAAAAAATAGATGGACAAGGGGCGCCTGGGTGGCACAGTCAGTTAAGCGTCCAACTCTTGGTTTCAGCTCAGGTCATGATCTCAGGGCTGTGAGATAGAGCCTGTGTCGGGCTCCACGGTCAGTGTGGCGTCTGCTTGGATTTCTCTCTCCCTATGCCTCTGCCCCTCCCCCCACGTACTGTCTAAAATAAATCTTAGGGGCGCCTGGGTGGCTCAGTCGTTAAGCGTCTGCCTTCGGCTCAGGTCATGATCCCAGGATCCTGGAATCGAGCCCCGCATCGGGCTCCCTGCTCAGCGGGAAGCCTGCTTCTCCCTCTCCCACTGCCCCCTGCTTGTGTTCCCTCTCTCGCTGTGTCTCTCTCTCTCAAATAAATAAAATCTTTTTAAAAATGAAAATAAAATAAGATAAATAAATCTTAAAAAATATATGTATATATTTTTAAAGATTTTATTTATTTATTTGAGAGAGAGAGTGCATGAGAGGGGGTAGGGTCAGAGGGAGAAGTAGGCTTCCCATGGAGCAGGGAGCCTGATGCGGGAGTCGATCCCGGGACTCCAGGATCATGACCTGAGCTGAAGGCGGTCGCTTAACCAACTGAGCCACCCAGGCGCCTTATTTTATTTTTAATAAATAAATTTTATTTATTTATTAATTTATTTATTTTTGAGTAGTCTCCATGCCCAACGTGGGGCTTGAACTCCCGACCCTGAGATCAAGAGTCACGTGCTCTCCTGACTGAGCCGGCCGGGCGCCCCTAATGATGCCATTTTTAAATATCATCACTAAAGATGATAAGCAGCTTTTCTTATATTTCTTGGCTATTTGGAATATTCTTTACTGAGGACCGCGTTCAAACCTTTGACTTGTTTCAAGGAAGTTTTCGTCAAGATTCTGCTGATTGGTCTTTTTAAAGTGCTCAGGACAGGGGATCTCCACTGGGGGTGATTCTGCCCCCCGGGGGACCCTGGGAGGCAGCTTCGGTCGTCACAAACAGAAGATGCTATTGACATCCAGTGGTCAGCAGCCAGGGACGCTGCTCCACGTCCCACAGCGGCCAGGACGGAGGATGGTCCAGCCCTGAGTGTCACAAGGCCTGCCACATATGTGTGTGTTGGTTAAAATAAAGGGGGGCAGGCGGGGGTCCGCCCGGGGCAGGGGCACTCACCGATCACCTGCAGGCTCTGTTTGGTATGCTTGGCGTAGATGCCGTAGAGCTGCTTCTTGAGTTTCATGATCTCCTCTGCCTGGATGGCAATGTCTGTGGCTTGGCCCTGGGGGGTGGCCCAGGGGCAGGTAAGAGGGAGAAGGTCAGAAGGAGCATCAGCCACTCACAGGGAGGCTGGAGAGGTCGTTCAGACAGGTGAGCGGGGCTTCTCGAGGCCGTGCACACCCTGCTGCATCTTTGCCCCCAAAACACAGGAAGTCTTCCTGTATTTTTTTTTAAGATTTTATTTATTCATTTTAGAGAGAGAGAGGTGGGGGGAGGGGCAGAGGGAGAGGGAGAAGCAGACTCCCCGCTGAGCAGGGAGCCTGATGCAATGCGGGGCTCGATCAGGTGACCCCGAGACCATGACCTGAGCCAAAATCAAGAGCTTAACCAGCTGAGCCACTCAGGCGCCCCAAGGCTTCCTGTATTAACTGCATTTTCTGCATGTGGAGCCTCGCCCCTGGGCAAGCGGATTCCTGGAGAGCGAAAGCTCCAGCTCAGCCATGAGTTTTCACGGGCAAACCAGTCATCAGTGTGCACGCCCTCAACCACCTCCTCTGTGGGGTTCTCATACTCAGGGCCACTGTCCCCTGCCCCGACCCCCCTGAGCCTGCTGAGATCATTCAAACTAGCCAGTCCTGAGCCCGCTGGCCCTGCCTCACTGTTCCTTCCTGCAGAAACCACAGTAAATTCCCTGTCCACTCCCCACCACCCCCCACCCCACCCCCGCTCTCTGCCTCTGGAGTGACCCTGGTGCTTCCCACGTGCGCGCCCCCCCTCCCCCGCCGCCTTGGGAACTGGGAGTAACAAACCATCTTCCCAAGGCAGTCCTTTCCTGATCAGATGGCCTCACCATACACGAATCATTGTAAAACCCATATTTCAAACACTGACACTCCCCCGTGACTTCTACCCAGTCAGTCCTCCTGTCCAGACAGCACCCCCCATCCCAAAGCAGACTGCATGGCGCCGGCACTCACCCGGGCACCCCCGGAGGGCTGGTGGATCATGATGCGGGAGTTGGGGAGTGAGTGGCGCATGCCTGGGGTGCCGGCGGCCAGAAGCAGGGAGCCCATGCTGGCGGCCTGGCCCACGCACCACGTGCAGATGGGGTTCAGGATGTACTGCATCGTGTCGTAGATGGCCAGGCCCGAGGTCACCATGCCTCCTGCGGGGGGACGGGGGGAGCACGGGGAGAGTGAGGGGCTGTGCTGTCCTCCCCGCATCCTTTCCCTAGCGAAGCCCCTGGCCTTGGGGAGGGCTTGTGTAGAGGCAGCCCCCAGCAACGGGTGACACGAACTGAGTGGGGGCAAAGAGGAGAGCGCATGCTCCAGAGTGAGCTGACTGTTGGCCCCTGTGCACATGGGCCCGGGGCGGACCCGATCTGTCAGAGTTTCAAGAGAAAGTGGAAGTCGGGGAGAGTGGTGGCCGAAAGGGAAGCTCTGGAGCCAGTCTGTCCTGGCAATGTCGTCGGTGTGACCTTGGGCAAGCTACCCAGCCTCCCAGCCACGGTGTCTCCGGCAGACCGGGGATCACTGAACACTACCTACCACCGGCAGCTGCCACGAGGACCGGATGAGTTCAGTGCCTATAAAACGCTTAAAGTACAGGGCACAGTCGGCACTCAGTCAAGATGAGCTATTCTCTTTTGCGAGGGGGACCAGCCGGTGGTGGCAGCTACCAGTTTTAAAATGCTGACCACCAGGTCAGGTTGGTAAAATGTTATGTGTGGAATCAAGGAGACAGGCTCAGCTGCCCATTTGTGAACCTAGACTTAAAAGCAAGGAACAGGCAACTTTTGGAGGTTTGGAGACCGTTTGGGGATTCTGAAGGAAGCTCAGCACCCTTTCTTCCTCCACAGGGAGAATGTTCCTGATTGGGGGGGGGTTCTCTGTCCCCCGAGTCACCTGGAGTGTCCCAGGAAGCGGCCCTGGCCCCAGGGAAGGCTCTGCTCACCGGGGCTGTTGATGTACATGTGGATGGGCTTCTTGTTGCTCTCGGACTGCAGGAACAGCAGCTGCGCGATAACCAGGCTGGCGACACTGTCGTCGATCTGCAAGTAAGCGGGGAGGGTGGGCTGGCGCAGCTGGGGGGTAAGGAGGGGCTAATGGAAGCAACTGGGAGGTGGCTGGGGATGAAGTCAGGGAACAAGGACGGGTGTCACAGCCCAAGTAAGACG